GGCTGGACTCCCATGGGGCACAGGCCACCGTTGTATTGCGCCCTGCACTCGGCCGTCTTCTCCGCACGGTATTTCTGAGCGCACGAGTTCGGGAACGAGCACCAGTAGTTGTCCGGGTACGGAGCACGCGGATCCGAGCCCTGCGGGTTGCAACCAACGTTCGGGCCAATATCCATGGTACCGTCCAGCCCGTAGTAAACTTTGCAGCTCTTCGGCAGGTCAGCGCCTGCATTCGTGCATTTGGCGCCGTCCATGGCCACGAAGTCACCGTACTCCGGGGGCGTGTGGTTTTCGTAATACTTGATGCTATAGGTCGGTTGGACGATGGTCATTTCGTAGAACACGACGTACTGCATGTTATTTTTGCGTTGGCACTTGACCGACTGCTCGTTCACGTTAATGCCTTCAGCCTGCACATACATCAGAGCTCCTTCCACAGACGCCATATTGACTGTGTCGAGGTTGTTAACGTAGGCAGCTTCCGTGGTGTCACCGTACTTGGACAGCCACAGGTTGACCTCCGGGTGCCACACAGGCGGGTCTCCTTGAACACGGGCCTGGATGATCTTGACGGGGGTCATGTGCCAGTCGTTATTGCTGTCGGCAGAAGCGGTAGCACCGAGAAGAGCGCAAAGCAGACCGAATTGACGCCACATTATGGAGCTGGGAAGTCTTCCTGGGCGAGAAGTGTCCGTGACCAAGTAAAAACTGGAATGGGAGGTATGTAAGCTCATGCCTCGGTCCAAGACGGGTTTGTCTGTTCGTGTTGGCTTCAAAACATACCGGACGTTCGCTGCCAAATGGCAATGCCTGGACGAGCGTCGACTGGTCTTGACGGTCCTATCCACAAAAATGCGGTTGGATAGCAAAAATGCGGTTGGATAGGTCTGGTCGAGATTTCAGCGTGGCAATGTCTGATCCAGAGCTGAATAAGATTGTGCTCGAAGTATCTCGTAAGTATTAATTAATAAATAATACTTGACACACAGCATGGGGTTGCTGTTATACTAGAATTAATTAATTTTACACGCATGGGGTGCAGTCGCCGACACCGAGTCCAGGGCGATTTACCACTAGTAAGTTAAGAATTGAGCACTCCATTATTCTCTGTTTATTTTGCGGCGCAAACGGCGTCTTCAACCAACGAAGCGGATAGTGCAGGGTTTCCGTGTCGTCGCATGCAGGATGGTGCCCCTTTGTCACAGACAGCAACGTGCCTTCGCACAAAAGTGAGCTTGACACCATGCAACCTTGCGAACCAGCGTGCGAACTGCAGTTTGGAGCTCTGAAGGTGAGGAGACTGATCCCAAATGTCGTATTCCGGATATCCATGGATACCCAGTACGTTCACGAACGGCGAATCGGATTGACATTCCTCAAAGCGAAAAACAAACGAGGCGAGACTTGGCCAGCTTCGGAGCCGTATTGCCAGCCTTCGATCATGGATGGCACAGATGTGTGGGACATCTTGCTGGCAAAAAAACTTACTTTTTCCTTAAAAAAAAAAAAAATTGGACAAGCATAAAAGCTTAAATGAATTATGAATATCTAAAAATGTTACAGATTCTGTCAAGATTGCTAACAAAATGTAAGGCATAACAACTCGGACCGAGTGGTGCACCTCCATGGAAATCGCGTGTGCTCCGTGTCAACCTCGTATTAGTTTCAAGACGGAAAACGAACGATGACTCACGGATACTGCTTCGTTCTGCGTGGTACGGTTGGTGGCATAGTGGTAGTCACTGGCACTGGACGGCCTCCCGAGGTCCTCTGGAGGCCAGTGTAGATCCTCTGGCAGAGAGGATCCTGAGTCCAAAATCTGGGCTCAAGATCGAGCTCACTTCGACTTCTTCGCAGCACCACACGCGTAAGTATGGCACCGAACGCAATCGAGAAAAGCCAAGATCATCAAGAACAGGATGTGTTGGTGTACGATGCCCCAGGGTACTTTGTCAACGACAGCAAAGTACCTCGATGGATGCAGAACCTGCTCACCGATGCATTCAGCTTCGTGATTCTGCACTACTTCGTGTGGGGCGTCCCGTTCCTCGCCCTATTCTACGTTTTTCACAAGGTGACCAACGCTATAGCGACCAGCGTGGTATCTTCAAACTAACCGCTCTACCTGTTCTTTTAGTACGACCTCGACTACGTATCTATTGCAATGGTGGTGCTCTATCTGCCCTCATTCTTCAGCGGAGCACACAAAACCGGCAAGGGCAACGTGTGGGAAGGTCTCCGCACTTCCAGGCTGTGGGGGTTGCTCAACAAATTCCTCCGGTTCGACGACTGTCTTCCATGTCATCAGTATATAGCTTCTCACTTCTTTTCCCACTTTTTTTTTATCAGGATGAAGATCATCCGGGAGCAGGAGCTCGATCCTAATAAGCGATACATCTTCGGTTTCCACCCTCACGGGATCATCGTACTCTCGCGGATCGCGATTTTTGGCGGCAGCTTCGAAGATGTTTTCCCAGGCATCACGTACAGAAGTAAGTGGGTTGGTAAAACAAAAAATGTTCACAGTAAATAACGGTGGTTAATGTGTGTCAGTTCTTGGAGCGTCTCCAATGTTTTACATCCCTCTCGGTCGTGAGTTGTGTTTATGGATGGGAGGGGTCGACGCCTCACGGTCTACGGGCGAGAAGGTGCTGAAAGAAGGAAGCAGTATCGTTGTGTATCCTGGTGGCGTGTCGGGAATATTCAAGACGAACCCCAACTCAAAGGAGGTAAGCAATTTGCACGCAGAGATCTAGTATTTTGGGCCCGTAACGCGAAGTTGTTGCATACTTTAAGACCCAATTAGTGCTCAAGAATCGCCTCGGGTTCGTCAAATTGGCCATGAATCACGGAGCAGATCTTGTGCCAACATTCGTCTTCGGAGAGAAGTGGCTTTACAAGTGAGTGCAACGTAGCTGAATGTGTGGCAACACGTTGCATATTAACTTTATGTCGTGTGTACAGCATGTGGAATCCCCCTAAAGGGGTGATAGATTTCTTTCGCAAGACGCTTGGCATCCCGGTGCTCGTCTTCTGGGGTAAGTTCTGGTGGATGCCCAAGGCTCCTGAGAAAGGAAAACGCTATGGAGTGGTGTACGGCAGACCAATTACCACAAAGCTCAATCCAAACCCGACAGAAGAGGAAATTTGTGCAATTCACAGTCAATATGTCGCCGAGATCGAAAGGATCTTTGGGCGGTACAAATTGGAGTTCGGATATGAGGAGGATGAAACGTTGGCCATCGTTTAGTTTCCGATGAATGGCTGGCAAGCGATTCAATTGGAACATTACGTCATTCTAAATGATAAATGTTGAAAGCTTTTGGTTCATTTGGTCGTAAAATGTGCATAAGCTGTTCAAACGATCATCGCGAACCGAGATTGCGTGGGGCATCACGTCATTTCTTACATGTGGTCTTGATTGCTTTACTATCATAGGTCTGTTTCATGGTCAAAGCTCTTCACGCGATCACCCTGAACGGTATAGCTGTTTACCATGTCTAGTTGAAGGCGCCCTGGTCCATTACGTCGCACGCTTCTGAACGTCGTGCAACCATCGAAACCCTCACAGCACTCGTAAGTCTAGTCGTGAACTTGACGTGGAAGTCATTTCCGAATTTGACATCTCCGTCACAATGGCGCCAGACCCGACGATGGACAAGAACGAGAGCGGTGAAGAAACGCAACCAAAAGAGGGCGTTCTGGTGTATGAGAGCAAAGCGTACTTCTCCGAGAACAGTCGAGTCCCCAAGTGGATGGAGAACTTCATCACCGACGTGTTCAGCTTCATCACGGCGCATTATTTCGTGTGGAGTTGGCCATTTCTCGGTCTGTTCTACTATCTGCATAAGGTGAACTATGCTTCCGTTTTCAGTACATACGATGAGTTCGTAAATTGCTCATTATTTGTTCGTGCTTGTATATACAGCGCGGTCTTGACTACGTTTCGATTGCGATGGTGGCTTTATACCTGCCATCGTTCTTCAGTGGAGCCCAAAAGACTGGCAAGGGAAACGTATGGGAATCCTTGCGCACGTCCAGCATTTGGGGACTGATGAACAAGTTCCTTCGCATCAAGATCATCCGTGAACAGGAGCTAGACCCCAAGAAACAATACATCTTCGGATTTCATCCGCACGGTATCATCGTGCTCTCTCGTCTCGCAATCTTCGGCCGCAACTTCGACGACGTCTTCCCAGGCATCAAAAATCGACGTAAGTTCGTGCCAGTTCTATCAAAAATCGTCACAAGTCTCACAAATATCTGTTAGTTCTCGGAGCATCAGCCATGTATTACGTCCCGTTAGGACGCGATATCTGCTTGTGGCTTGGTGGCGTTGATGCTTCGCGGTCCACGGGTGAGAAGGTCTTGAAAGAAGGCAACAGTATCATTGTCTACCCAGGCGGTGTACCCGAGATTTTCCGCACAGACCCAAACTCGAAAGAGGTACATCGAGCACTTATTATACTGCGTTGATTTAATGGAGTTTTTTTACGACATTTCATGGTATTTATTCCTATACAGACTCAGCTCGTGCTGAAGAAGCGTCTCGGGTTTATCAAGCTCGCAATGCGTCACGGGGCAGATCTGATCCCTACGTTCATCTTTGGAGAAAAGTGGCTATACAAGTGAGTCCTCTGTTCTTGAGCTTGTAGTCTAGAATCTTTACTAACGTTTTCTATCATTTTAGCATGTGGAATCCGCCCAGATTCATCATCAACTTCTTCCGCAAGGCTCTCGGCATCCCAGTCCTTGTCTTCTGGGGCAAATTCTGGTGGATGCCTAAAGCTCCAGCCGAAGGAAAGCGCTATGGACTGGTCTACGGCAAACCGATTGTTACGAAGCACACTCCAAACCCGACCGACGAGGAAATTCGAGCTGTTCATGCGCAATACGTCGCTGAGATCGAGCGGATCTTCAAGCAGTACAAGTCCGAATTTGGCTATGAGGAGGACGAGACGTTGCTTATCGTTTAGTTTTACGAAGTTGTAAAGTGACGACGTACAAGCTTGATTATGGTATCGGAGGTCCACCGCAATAATCGTGAATAATCCAACACGTTGATGATTCACATTCGATTTGAGTCCAAGTCAACATCAGTTTTCTATTTGACAGCGAGGTCGCAAATGGCAAGTAAAATTCAAGAGCAGAAGGACAAGGGCGTTTTCGTGTATGAACCTCTCGGGTTCTTTGCGGATGATAGCCACGTGCCCCTGTGGGTGCAGAACTTCCTTACCGACGTGTTCAGCTTCGTGACAACGCACTATTTCGTTTGGAGCTTCCCGTTCCTCGTGTTGTTCAACTGCCTGCATCAGGTGAATCAGGTTTGCAATTGTCTATTCATCGTTCCCAGCGTTTAATCTTTTTGAGCTTTCAAGCATGGACTCGACTACGTGTCTGTTGCTATGATCGCTCTGTATTTCCCCTCATTCTTCAGTGGCGCCCAGAAAACAGGACAAGGCAACGAATGGGTAGCCGTGCGTACGTCGAGTCTATGGGGTCTCATGAACAAATTTCTTCGGTACGTTTACTACCACAGACCCTTACGGTATATTTCAGCGCACTTACTTGTCGATTCCGTTGACGTTCAGCATGAAGATCATTCGGGAGCAAGAGCTAGATTCGAGGGGAAAATACATTTTCGGATTCCATCCTCACGGAATCCTTGTACTCTCTCGAATCGCAGCTTTCGGCCAAAACTTCATTGACGTGTGTCCTGGCATCACGACTCGATGTAAGTGATCTGAGAGGGACGCTAAAGCTCCAGAGTCTCACTGGTTTTGGTGCTTTAGTCCTTGGTGCCTCGGCAATGTATTACATCCCGTTAGGACGTGATATGTGTTTGTGGATGGGTGGGGTCGACGCCTCACGCTCCACTGGTGAGAAGGTGTTGAAAGATGGCAAGAGTATCGTCGTCTACCCTGGTGGTGTACCCGAGATTTTCCTTACGGATCCGAATTCAAAGGAGGTGTGTAATATTACGTGCTCTTTGGAGTCGTGACAGTACTGATTGCTTCACTACAGACCCAACTCGTGCTGAAAAAGCGACTGGGATTCATCAAACTCGCAATGCGTCAGGGAGCTGACCTGGTTCCTACGTTTGTGTTCGGCGAAAAGTGGCTGTACAAGTACGTACGCGTTGTGTCGCTAGCTCTATATTCCGACTTAACAGTATGCTGCTCCCTACCTGTAGCATGTGGACCCCACCCAAGAATGTGACCGATTTCTTCCGGAAGAGACTTGGCATCCCAGTGCTCATCTTTTGGGGGAAGTTTTGGTGGATGCCCAAGGCCCCACCAAAGGGAAAGCGCTACGGAGTTGTGTACGGGAAGCCTATTATCGTGAAGCACGATCCAAACCCAACCAACGCAGAAGTTTGTGCGGTTCACGCTGAATACATCAGTGCAATCGAGCGGATCTTCAAGCAGTACAAATCGCAGTTCGGCTACGACGAGGACGAGACGCTGGCCATCATTTAGGGCACTTCTAAAGCAACCCCAGATCAGTTAAACCAAAAACTGTCTTTTTTGTTTGTTTGTTTGAACTACTCATGAACAATTACGTTGTGTTTGGAGCGAGCTCGGAGCTTTAGACCTTGTTCAAAACGATGGAGATCGGGTAGTGATCACTGTTGTATCCACTGCAGGACGTGGTGTACAGGTTGTGATTGAACGAGACGCTCTTGAGAGCAGACGACAGTGACTTGGAGACGAGCATGTGGTCGAGACTGCTCAACTCGCTGTCTTCGTACACACAGTCATTGTCCTCGTCCCACCATTGCGTGTAGCGGTCAGACTGCGAGATTTTGCTCGCCACGTCGACAAAGTTGGTACCCGTTAGAATGGAGAGCACTGCACTGATCGGTGCGTTGCTGTTCTTGTCCGGCAGAGCCGCAGACCAGTCGTTCAGGTCACCAGTGATGATGGCGTGGTGACCTTCATCGACTGCAGCATTGGCCAGATCAGCGAGTACCGTCGCCTGAGCTTCACGCTCGAAGCAACGTGGTTTACTCTCGGGGTTGGCCAGTAGATGAGCACCCACGAGCGTGATCGGCTTGGAAAAGCCCGTGACGTTGAAGGTCGTGTAGAAGTGCTTGGACACGCCCTTGGAGCTCGAGTATCCGCTCGAACTAGGGCACTTTGACCCACTAACGGGGATCGTTGCGCGCGTCTCCGTACGTTGCAGATCCACAACAGGATCGATTCGCGTGAGCAGTGCCGAGTTCTGACCCGTGGACGTGTCAGCTCCTCTGATCACGTACGGCTTGTAGGTGGAGTCGCCCAGTGCTTCGAGCTGCGTGATGACAGCCTCCAGCACGGTGCAGTCCTCGACCTCGTTGAGCTGGATGATGTCGGCGTCCAGACTCTTGATCACGGATGCGATCTGGATCACGTGGCTCTGAGCTTGAGCCGCCGTCGTCCATCGACAGTCAGCTCCCGGACATTTGAGTCCGTGCGGTGCGTTGCCCAGGAACAAGAACTCCGCGTTGAACGTCGTCACTTTGAGTTGGGACGTGCTGGTGCGACGGTCTCCAGGTCTTGCTGGGGCTTCGGCACAAGCGACGAATGCCGCGTCGGTTGACTGGAACCGAGTGACGACGGCAAGAGCAGCCGCCGCGGCGATGGAAACAAGGGAGACCATGACGTTACGAAGGGATCGTGGAGTGGGTCGTGCGCGGGGAGTGGCGTATTGCCGAGTGAGTTGTGCGTCGGAGTCATGCTGCGAGCGCCGGCGTGCCATGAGGCTTGACCTTGAAGCCGCTCGTTAATCCCTGTAATCAGGTCACTTCCCGGGCGTCCTGTTTGCTCGGGATCGAGTCCCGCAGGATGGAGATTCGATCACTAACGGACAGTTTAACGTGCAGGAGATGGCCATCCGCGCCACGAAGATGCAGGCCGCAGTCTCCACGTTGCACGGGTCACGTCGAACAGTGGAAGACTCCGAGACGAGGCACTGTATTGCACGTGAATGCCTGTCACGTCAAGAAGCGCATCCTGCTCAGGATCAGATTCGATCGACGGCATTTACATGTACGTGAATGCGTGTAAGGTACTTCGTGCCTTTCATTACTCAAAGATGTTGAGTCTACTTCTACACTTCAACGTGTTTAATACCGGCGGCCATCGCGCCTTGACGTGTTCTGTAAGATAGCTGTGTTCTGAGAGAAGCTGTGCGAGACCAACAGCGTCTCCAGCGCTTGACGGCGGCTCTGGTCGAGATACAGGGTCTTGCCGCGCCGCAGGTACGGGTCTTCCTCTCCGTTCTTGTCCACGTACAGACTGCCCCACACGCAGCGTCGTTCGTTGCCCAAGAAGAGGATCACAGTACACGCACGTAGCAGTAAAAAGACCCCCATCCCAAGGCCGCAACGCTGGGCGTGCTGCGTGCACTCACCCACGCCGCCGCCTTCCTTTGCCTCGCAGCACGGCGAGAAGCAGCATAGTACTTCACCACAATAGAGACACAGTCCTGGATGTTGAGGGACCTGTGCGCACTGTTGACAGATGCCCGTCGGCTTCTCGTTGTATCGGATGAATAGATCCATGTACACACGAGGCAACGGGATCAGCAGGCGTGAGTTGGCGCCGGCAGCAGCGACCGCAGCAGCTCGAGACGACAGCAACATCACTTGCCGTTGCAGTGGAAAGGTATTGGTCTGTGTGGAGGAGTCTCCCATCACTAGCGCTTGAGAGCGCGCTTGTTGCCTAGAAACAGCGGCCTTGGCCTCCAGCTGAGCACCCCAGAGCTGACACAACGCGCGCTGACTTGACGGGAACATCTGCCGATGGAAGAAGAGTCGTAAAGGCGGTAAGTGAAGTCTCCGCAAGCATTTCTCCAGTAACGCAGACGCCGTGGGCGGCCTGGTTGTTGTCGATGCGGCAGGGAACAATCCGTCGCAGACAGCGCACGTCTCGGCAATCTGCGGCGTGTTGGAGTCGTTGCTGTCGCTGTGAGTGTGATGAGGCATCGGCAGCACAACGTCCATGAGTAGAAGCATCTGCTGAGCGAGCGGTAAGCACAAGACGCTCACTTGCTCCTCCATCGCCCCCGTGCTCCACCTTTTCGCTGGTTTAACATCAGACGTCCGTACCGACTTGTCCACCAAGCGAGACCGCGCCAGCATCAGTGAAATCCACGCAGATGCGTCGCGAAGCGACTCGACGTCTTCAAATTCGCGGATCTCCTTCGGTACTTCTCCGTTCTCCGCTTTGCAGTCATTCTGTATCGATAGATAAGCCAGCGCCTGCAACACCTGAGCTGTGAATAATACGCGCGACGAGAAGAACGCCTCAGTGAGTAGTTGCTCCGCTGCTACGTCCGTGTTGGGTGTTGCAATGCTCTGTCTCCACATCATACGCATTGCGAAGCACGTGAGCAACCGCGGGTGGCACAGCATCGGCGTGCCCACTAGTGCTGCATCCGTCGCGTCGTCCGCGTCTCCTTGCAGCTGGTCGCGCATACTCCACTTGGTACTACACGCATCTTCGTCTTCTGCAAAGAGAACTTGCTGTCCAAATATCAGTCCATTCAGTCGCGTCATGACGCTCTCGAACTGTTTCTCCGCCGGCGCCTCCACCACAGTCCACGCCAACGAACTCGGGGTCGAGAACGCGACAGCAGCCGCCGTGATGTCTGCAAGTTGACGCATCGAACGAAGCTGCAACGGGTCCACGCTATCCGTCTGTAACATAGTCTTCTCACGTGCTACCACGCGTAGCTGCACTTCAAGACAGTGCAGAAGCAACTGCCACGCCGGCGTTTGAGCGCCACATTCCGAACTAAGCTGCTGCATCTCCAAGTCCAAGCTGCCTTCGTCACGAATGGAGCTGGTAAGCAGCGTCGGGAGATAAAGTTGTGCACGTACAGAACGCAGTACAACTTCATGACAGAACGCTCCAATCTCCCGCTCTACACTCACGTCTTGCTCGGTACAATCCCGTTCACCGGGAGACGACAGCGAACCGGACGACTGCGAGCCAGGAGACAACGACGTCTTCGAACTGGACGATAACAAACGTCGCCTTAGCCGTAAACTCGACTGAGTCCGCGAGCGTCGTCGCTTGACGACCGGGGAATCATCTCTAAAGCTCATCTGGGCGTCCAGCCACTGCAGGAACGCCAAGGGGTCCTGTCCGTCGTCCTTCTTCTCTTCTTCTTCCTCGTCTGAAAACTCCGTCCTCATGAACTCACAGGCAGACGCTCGTTCTCTAAGCTCCCCCAAAGACACGCGTGGGACGAGACAATTCGACAGTCGACGGCAGATCGGACACACGAACTCCATGTCGCGTTCACTGAGCAGGCGGTCCTCGCTACTGGCCATTTCCAAAGGACTTCGGCCGTGCTTTTGCTTCCACAATGACATGAGATACGCCTTTAAGCACGCGTGATGAATAGCGTGGCCACAGCTCCAGATGACGCTGTCTGCGAGTTGCAAGCGCATTTCCTCGGTTGTTCCGGGTTTCAGTACACGCAGAGACGGGAGGCGCGAAGACACGACGGAGTTTGACGCTCCTTTCTCGATTCTCTGGGGCATATTGGTGGGTAGAATCATGCCTACAAAGCCGAAGGAGGATTCGCGAGAGCGTGGGTCGCACGGTAAACGACAAAGGCCGCACTCTTCACACGAGTCGTCTAGGGTGTAGTCGTAATTTATGGACGAGGAGCGTCCCCTGTCGTCGTTCTCTGCAGTGATAGACGAACTCCGAGTGCTTCGTCTTCGTCGTCGTCTCCGGTCTTGAGATCTCCGCTGTTTCTCCCGGATCTGGGCGATAGCGGATGAGACGTGATCCAGATACAAGCGGACATCCACTTGACCAGTAGGGAACCCCCACTCATCTTCTTCCTCATGGTCTTCCTCCACTTCCTCCGATTCCATCGCCTCATCGTAGCTGTCACTGTCCGAGTCCATCAACACTTGACCGTCAGTATTGTTCACTGTCTCCTCGTTCATCGTATCGCTGTTAGCAGACAGAAACTGCATTTGCTGGGACCGCATCTTGTCCAGAATCTGCTGCTGTCGCCTTCTCATCATCTCTTTAGCTGTGAGCTTTGGTGGGTCTTTTTCATCGCTGTCGTCTTCGCAGCTAGTAGAGTTTGAGTTCTCGTTCTCTTTGTTGGAAATATTCGAGTGAGCTTCTAGCTGTTTCTGCTTTATCGCGTCCAAATACGCCGAGCAGACTGGCGATTTCTCGCGTACTGATCGCAGAATGAGCTTCACCACAGGCTGCGAATCCTCCATCGCACTCTTGCGTTCAGTGAAGAACAGGAGCAACGATAGCAAGCTAGACGTAGGTGCTTCCTTTCCATCGGATTCAGCATCGCATTCTCCACTCTGCTCTTCTATCGGTATCTCAGTGCACACCTTGATAAATAAACTGCTTTCATCGTCAAAGCACTGCGCAATATCATCCAAATTCCGCTTGCTTCCAGTAATACCATGCTTCTTGTGAAGCTGGGCGTCTTGAGGGTCCTTTGGCAGCATTTCAACTGCCACGTATAGACAGTGCAGAGCAGCAAGCAGCAGGTTCTCGTTCGTGACTGAGTTTCCGCTGTCTTGGTCTTCATTAACCCCTTGCTGACCTTGCTGTGTTACTACTCTGCGTCTGTAGTTCTCGAAAATGACGAACAAGACACTAACCATGTACGACGAGTTCAACATCGTTTCAGCCAGCAGCCCGTGCATATCTACCCCGCTCGATCCTTCAAGCTGTGTTCGTGGTAGCATAGGCAGGATTGTGCCTTGTTGATCACTGGATTTGGGTAAGTTCTTGCGGATATTCTGTTCGCACTGCTGCGCTTCAGACGGCGTGAAGCACTCGAATAGAGGAGAGACTCGAGACCACAGTTCGGGCTTCAACTTCCACGAGCCGCTCATCTTGAGTCCACAGCCTAAGAGACTGCCACTACGAGCAGTTCGAGGGCCACTGGAACATCCAACCGGGTCTTCATACACACCAACGTTCTCCAACACATGCGTAAGGATTTCTTCCTCTTCTAACTCCGCCCACTCGTGCGTTGACAGTTGCTTTATCTGCTCCACCAGCTTCATATCCGTTCGCATAATCACTTCACTACGCGTGAACGGACCCAGTGTCAACCAATGCATGATCTCACGCTCCAGAAGCCACACAGCCGCAGTCTCGGGTGAGCCAGCAGAGGCCAGTTTGACAGGTGCTAGCACAATCTGAAGCAGGAGACGCAGAGCTTCCTCCACGACGTCCAATTCTTGACGCAACTCACGACTGCGGTCAACGTTCACACTATCCTTCGCAACATTCAAAGAGTTTAGTCCAAGCACCGACGATCCACGAATCCCAAACGGTAGTTGATGAAAGAAGAGACGCGTGAAGCTCCCGTGCGGTAGAAGACCAGCTCCAAGTTGACATAGGAACAGATCCGAGTGAAGACCAAAGTATCGCCAATGCTTCGAGTGGTAATGAATGAGTTGCTGCAGCATCACTCCGCCATTTCGTACCCACAGACCAGCCTTAATTTCTCTTGAGAAGAGCAACACCCGCAGAGGATGATCCAAGACGCTATACCAAAACGCCAAGTCTTTGCGTTGTTCGTCATTAGCAGACCCCATGCCCAGCAACTCGCGCCAGTCGGCCATCGTTTGAGGACGCACGACGCCACACAATGCATGGATCAGTGCTGCATACATGTGATGCAGCGGGAAGTGAAGGCTCTTCGCACTGGCGCCTCCCAACGCCACTGTGCCCTGCTCGTAGTATTTCATCAGCTGTGTCATCGTCGTTGCCACTCTTTCTCTCGATACTTCGCCAGGTCCTGCACATGCTGCAACTAACTCGCTTGCTTCAGCTACAAACTCTGGTCGCCCATTACGGTTCGCCCACTGACTCAAAGACACTCGTACGGGATGCAAAATCGCTCGAGCCAACGCAAGAGGTCGAAACGTGTCAGTCTCCAAAGGATTCAGCGGCGTGGCCCCGGTAATGACTCCTCTAGCTCCTTGATTCCAACTGTTCTCACCCGTCGTAATGCTCGTCCAGACCTCACAAGAGAAGCACGTAGGGATACCAGTTAAAAACGCACTCAGCAACAGTTTCAGCTCGTAGTCTGCGACAAACGCAAAGGTCCAGTTTTGTGACTCGTACTCGATATGCCGGTGTACATGACGGGTCTGCAAGTCCATCTGCTGCAGCAACTCAAACGTCTTCATGAGCTGCGCGTACACTGAAGCTTCATGCAGAGCACAATCGTCCCCTCCAATGCAGCGAAAAGACCGCAATAAAACTTCAGCCGCGATCTGCGGATGGACCAGGAGCGTTCGCAAATCCGAGCAAAGTCGAGCATAGATCCGCTTCTTGAACACATTCCGTCCACAATCCACCGCCTGGACAGTCCGCAATACCGGAGGAGCCTCTGGTACTGGTCCTATACCCACTGTCGACGTGCTACTGCCATTTGTATCGTTACCACCAGTCGACGTTCCATCTATCAGCGATTGTGGCAAGATCGTCATTAATCGCAGAGTACTTCGGAACAGATCGTTCAGTTTCTCCAACAAGAACACCATAAGCCACTCGACGCAGGAGGAAGGCGTCGAGTCGGTCGTTAAGAGAGGTACACCAAGAGGATGGTGTGATCTTCGTCGTCGACGGCGGGTCTTGTGTGTTTCGCTTCGGTTAAATGTAGGGCGCATCGAGAAGACAGTCTCCAGTTCACGTAGTTGAGCGTTGCTGTGGAAAAGCTGGCAGAAAAGACGGTCAATAAACCGTGACAGATTCCTCATGCCATCCTCGTTGTTCTCGTCGCTGGATGATAAGTACAACTCGATGAAGTACGGATACCATTCCACAAAGTGACATGTGTACTTTTGTTTGAACGACTGGTCAAACAAAAGCTTCAGGTACAACACGCCGAGAACATCACACGTCTCCACTGGTAGCAGTATCCCCGCCTTAAGAAACACATCGAGCATCAGCATGGGGCCATGATTCAGTCCTCCGTCTTCCATTTGGTCTTCTTCCGATTCATCGCTCGTTGGTGTAGCCTCCACTGGTGTTTCCTCTACTGGTTGGCTGGACGAATCTGTTGCCATCGAACTCTGTGTAGACGCGGCGTCCAACTGAAAATCGGGTGGCAGCTCTTCAAAGAACAAGTCGGATATCATGTTGCGATAGTACAGACAGCTCATGGACAGCATCTGCAGCCACGCCAGCGTCTGCTGTAATCTGTCCACGTGCGTCTTGACGACCGACGGGAGCGCCGAGCGCTGTAATCCTGTTCGAGGGAGAGATCTCGTTGGGTAAAACGGGTCTGGGTTCTCACTGGCATGCGGACGTAAGCAGGCCAGATGCACTTCTTTCAGTACATCCACACAGAATTCCATGGCTCTCCTCATGAGCGTCTGCACCACAGAATCTTCTTCTGCTCCCATCTTCATCTTCTTCAGTTCGTGCTCATTGTGTCCCGTCTTGTTCTTCTGCGCGCTGTGTTTCTTGCAGAATCCCTCGGGTTTCCAGGCCAACGGGTCGCCACAGTCGCAACATCCCCCAGAGGAGCAACGGTACACTCGATAGTCGTGTCCCTCGTGCTCTTCTGGGTCGAAACACGCCAGACACATGCAACTCGAGTCCGAGAGTCCGCAAGTTCGACATCTGTACGCCATATGGTCTCCATGCCACACTTTCTCACACTTGAGACGCTTGACGCTGCCGTAGTGCGACGCCAGACACGCATGGAAGCCCTCGGGCAGCTTGAAAGTGACAGAGATACCGGTAGAACCGGAGGAACTCTCCTCCTGCTCGTAGCTGATGCAGTTTTCAGCTGTATTTTGTGTGTAAGAGCACGACTCGACCTCCGGCTGCTCCTTAACTGTATGCAGCGAGTGCGAGCGTGCGTGTGCCGCCATCATGACGCGCAGGAAGAACTGCAGAAGCTCCGGGAAGTGCTTGACTGCCGGATTGGCCAAAAGTTTGAGCGTAAGCAGGAGCTGAGAGGCACGAGACGCAGCCAAGAAGGCGGAGATCAGCTGGGACTCGTCCTCCGAGGCAGCATGCGAGCTGAAATGCGACGTTAGACGGGCTTCCAGCGCCATGTCCGCATCGGAACAGGTGGAGGAGGAGTCTGAGCTGCTCTCGAGCGTCTTGCCTACTTCGGAGCGAGCGAGAGACGCCGCTACGTCGAGCTCCACGTCGCGCCGCTGTTCGGCTTCTCCCGTCTTCGCCATCTTTTGAGAAATCAGCTTTGACGGGGAGGTCAAACTGCAACTGCGAGGTACCGGTTCTACCGGCTGTTGATCAATTTTGAAAGATCCTGAGATATTTTAGAGAAGCCATCAAGAAACCAAAGGATTTATTTTTATTCAATTTTAAGAAGCCATCAAGAAACAAAGGGATTTATACTTACGCATTTTTGTAAATTTGAATTTATGATAAAATGGAGAATAAAACTGAAAACGCATTCTTCTCCAGAAGTATTTGGCGTGATTCGATAATATCGAGCTGGTTTTTTAAAGTCTTCATATTCAATATGATGAAAAGCACTTTCTAGAGAAGAAAGTGTAACAGATTGTTTTATGCTATACGTAAACTATGCTGCAACTTGGCAATCTCTTTTCGAGCGTCTCAGCAATTATATCTGGCCATTTTGCCATTAAAACGGTTTCCCTTAAAAGAATATCTTCTGTCTTGCAGGTCTCCACTACATTTTGGTCATGCAATTCAAAAATTGCCTGTCAGATCAACACTAGCACGAAATATCATGTGTATTTTTGACCCACAAGTTACGCGTTGCTCATAATATTTTACGCGTACACTTATACAAGCTCGATGATAGATCTGTAAGCTTATACAAATATAATTATCGAACGCAAGCTCAATTGTGACTCACAATTAATTCTATTTGAGCTTGCATAAGTTTACAGAGGAAATCAATTAAAATTGCAAAATTTTACAGCTATTTCATCTAACTTGAATAAGTTTTATGGCTTGAAACTTTGTTTTGATTGGTTAAAATAACTTGTTGGCGGTGTTGAAGCTAACGTTATCAAATTGCTGAATGCGTAGACCTGGATGTCCTCCGCACTTGCGATCTTGGCGTAAAACTACTAATATATATGCTGCACTTAAACTTTGCAATCGATATCTTAGAATAAGATGATGAGCTTTTCGAATAAATAAAAGGAAAAGCATTTCTTTGTTAAGAAATATTTAAAGAAAGCGTTGTTTCCTGTCCAAAAATATTAATATTTGGCGCGATTTCTTAATACATGGATCAAGTTGGTTTTTCTGAGCAGAGAAAACCACTTTCTTGTTCTTTCTCTTAAAAAAAACATTTCCTTTTTATTGAATGTTATCCAAGGAAGGGAAATGGCCAAATCGCGGAGACATCGTGTCGTGGCTGCTGCCTAAACTGGCTAAAGCTACAGAAGTAAGCTTTGTTAACAGGCAGTGGACAAGGTCGTGCCCGACTGCCATCAGATGCGTGAAATTGTTGATTGACACCCTTCGCCATCAGAGGTGCAGGATCTTAGCTACACGGATACTATATTTGTCTCGACTGGTAGTATAAGAGGATACGCGGCGATCATGCTACTGTATGCCTTACAGCTTCATGTCGGCAGGCGATGGCACGGGCACGTGCTGCTTGAGATGGTGCACGCGATAGTTAAGCTTGTCCACCTGCTTTTTCAGGGCATCGCGCTCGTTGCGGGCTTGGTCGCGCTCCTTGCGCAACTGCTCCAGGCTCGAGCCCTCCTTCAGCATCGTGTCTGCAGCATCGACACACCCGCATAGTACGTCAGTCTATCTTCTAACTCTAGCTGTGTACGATATATATCGACGGTGGTCGCACCTCTAATGGCGCGCAGCTTGAGCAGCACTTGTGTCTGGTATTCGCGTAGGTCGGCACCGCCCACGGGGCCGTCCACCTGCTTGGCCTCAGCCGCCAGTCGCTTTTCTACTTCGTCCATGCGGGTCAGCACATTCTGCAAATGGTCAGCAAGAGAGAGGAGGCATGAGGCGTTGGAGCACTAGGACATAAGAACACCCGTGTATCATACGTTGATGTCCGTGTTGACTTGGTCCAGAACCTGCGATGGCGCAATGCGGCGTGGGAAAATGTGGGGATGAAGAGCACACTAACGTAAGTGGTGCTCTGGGGCCGGTTGGCGAGTGCCGGTTCAACGCTCGTAGCGGAAGACTGCAACGCACCTTCGAGTCTGCCATTCTTCTCGTCCACCAGCAAAAATTATGAAACGTGGCGTGTGCGACACATAAATATCACGTCGAGTCAATTATTAATAGTTTCATTATTGACTTTTATTTTAGACAACTATTGCTGGTGAAAAATGGTTTTAACAATTTTTTAATACAAAATATTGAAATAATTATAAAGTACTAGTATTGATACTCGAGTATTTGGGAAGACTATCTCCACAAAATCACTGGCCTGTTGCGCCCGAAGCATCAGTATATACCCATGCAAGCATAAGCACTTGAGTATAGTCCATACGTTGGCTTGAACGCGTGATATAGCTAGCGAGAACCAACCCACAAAAAAGAAACTACTGTACAGGACTCACTCCAGTTTATTGTCGCCACTACCAGCCGATGTTTTAATTCCGGTTGCGTTCGCCAGCGTGTGTGCTTGCCGTAATAACTACTAGTTAGATTGTATCAAGTCTAGTGCAGAAGATGAGATATAGCTATCGATAGCCTGATGCACCTGTGATGCCGGGTAGTTAACGAAAAAAGCTAACAAATCCATTCTTATTAAATTGTCCGGTACATGTAATTAGATGTGATTAAATGGGTCCCAATGGCTAATCCTTTTTAACCTGGAAATTACAGCGCAATATGCTCGCGGAACATCTAGGATTCTTTTATCGTGCAGACGCACACACAAATAAATATAGAGCTGCTGTTTGACGACCGTCACATTTGAGTTAAATCTGTATTTGTGGAAGCTACCAGTCAAAGAGCAACGGTATAATAATAATAATAATAAGGTATATTTCCATCATCCTTTACTGTTCTTACAGCCTACACCTTAATAACTATAGACCAAAATACCCTCCATCATGCTTGGGTGAAGAAAATGAGCAACTTTAGGCGTGAAAATAGTCCTCGGTTTATTGCAATAAATATTGTTGTCGAGCTCGATATTGCAATAGCTACTGCCCTCTTTCTAAATGTCAATATTTATAGTATCCTACGATACTTTCCGATCCCTGGTAAACACTGCACGTTCTTGTCTTTGCTTATCTAATAAAATATCTTTTTTTTCTACAAACGCATACGTGTACTATATACCTTTGTTGCTTAGTTAATACACACTGACCGCGAGGCCCGTGTTTCCTTGCTGGGGAACAAACAGTTATATTCTCCCAGGCCTGTGCAACATCAGTATCTTTTTCTGGTTATTCACATGTCAATTCCAAACTTCATGTTAAGTAAAAAAAATATATATATTTACGCAATAAACGCTTCTCACGCAACTTGGTGCCCCGAGTTCTCATAGATCATACTCTACACAAACATATTCACCAAATTTGAAGCCAAAACGTACCTGTTATCGCTTAACCTTGTCGACCCATTCGCTCAAGATTAGGACACAGTCCCTTCTATTCAATAACGTATCAAAAACTAAATTACCTGCCACATTTAAACAATCCAACACACTCAAGCACTGCGCAACAGGAACTACGATGAACTCATTAAACCAGAGAATAGTTCAGAATACGAAATTAGTATATAATAATTATTGTTTCGTTTTTCAAAGTAGATAATAATAGTATTTGAAAGGGTGCTTAGATAACATTATATTACTAAAGTTATATATCGATAACCCCCATTTACTGGGTGGTTTCTGAAATCACGTTTTATTTTTACTACACGAATTTGTCCATGTTATATTGGGAATGCCTCAAAGAGGTATAGACAGCCCACAACGGATGGTGTCGAAATGCGTAGCGTAACCTGGGTCAACATTCGTGTCACCTCGAGATGCATTTTAAGCAGTTTTCTCAGTCGACAAGATTGTGGTTTATTTCTTCTTTACGTACAGGCGTTGCTGCAAAGTTTATTTCGTTTATGAAGCGGAGTCGTCGGAAGTGTGAAGGATATTCTACGAGATCCTGTGTGGAGAATATGACAGAGAAAGAGTATGCGAGGGTATTGTGAATAAAAATAAAGTTGAACGCTGTGCACGTGAGATGCACAAAACCCTCTATGGTGGTATATCAAATCCCGACCGGAGATCTATACAACGACAAACTTCAGGGGAAACTATGTCGAAACCGATATCCTTGTTTATATGATAAGGAAACTATGATTATCTTTCCCGACCAAACAGTCCCAACCGTGTGGCTCAGTTTTGTGCGCAGCAAAATTTTATGAGTGGTGTATTATTTCTTTCGCATTTTATACGCGTATACTTCGTGATTTCAGGGATCATCCACCATTTTGATAGTAAGTGTTTTTTTT